GTTAATAGATAGTTTTTTTTTTTGCTCCGTCTATTACTTGTAAATTTAGGTTTTTAATTTTGTTCTGTGCTTTCAATGTATTAATTTGTGACTTCTGATTTGTGATTCTAGATTCTACGAAATGACGATGGAGCTGGTCTCCGAAACGTTCTCTATAAAGATATGAATTTTTGTGGACTTTTCTTTGCTTTTAAATTCTTAGTTAATTTGCGATTTAAGCAAACAAGTGATATAAATTCAAATTGAAAAAAACTGGAATACTAACCTGAATTTGCATAGTGCATGGTAAAGCAGTTGCATGCATTATGCATCGTCCAAACGTAGCATCATCGCTTGAGGCATGGATGGCATGTGCACGACACCACTCAGAGGAGGCAGCCATGCTTGACACCACAGCACTGCTTAATATAATTCCATATCCTGGAAAAAAAAGGGTTTTCCTACATAGTTTTTGACAATATACATATGACTATACTAGCCTAGTCCTAACTACACGATAGGAACTGTAATTAAGAAGCCAAAACTTCAAATGAAAATGAATGGCCCAACTTTCAACAATCTTCATAAATTCATGCAAAATAAGCATATCCCATTAGGATTCCTGGATTTCAAAGCCTTCAAAACGCATTTAGCCTTAAAGCTAAAAAAATAGTGAATAGAATTCCAGTAGAACAATTCATAAATTATCATCTTCTTTACAGTCGAGACGCTAGATTTCTTGGAAATAAAGATTTTCCTTGATTAAAGCTTAGAACAAAATATTTAGCATATTTCAACATATTTTGAATGTTCAAAACTCTAAGACTCTAGATTGCAGATACTCACCCAATTTGCAATAAAGAGCTCCTGTAGCTGCAGGAACCCCATAATGTAGTGGCCTGCTGGTGCTGATGGAACCAAGTGTTCTGTGCAAGGCAAGTCCATTGATGTATGGAACTGAATCAAGATGCATTGCAGATATCAGCATGAAGAAGTCGTAGGAACTGGAGTAATGGTCTTGCAGGTAAGATACAATGCTGTACATCTGAAATAATAAGAAAAAAAATTCATTCATATGTTTGTGAAATTTTAAATGACAGAAATTAAAAGCTCTGTTTGTTTCTTTAAAATTTTATATTGGTTTCAATATTTTTAATTGAGGACATACAATATGGAAGAATATATATACGGTATATACAGTACAGAAGAGAGTTAATAAAAAACCTCAATTTTTCATTTTAACGGTAACAAAAATATTAATGTTTACAACTATGCAAATCTGTAATTGTTATGAAAGGGAAAGCGTGCAATTATATTATATTACCTATAGATCATGATACCTATTATTTCAATGCTTACCAACTGTTCATTCTTCACATCAGGAAATGAGATGATAGGTAGACCCATTGAAGCTGGTGGATTGTCTTCACCAACAAAGAACACAAGATGATCAACATGCTCATGAATAGTCAAGTTCCATGTGTAACCATATTGCTTCACTACAGATAATGTTGTTGCAATGGCTACAACAAGCTTTGCCTTGATATTCAGTTCAGAAGAGAAGTAACGAGGGCGCACCACTTGTTTTGCATCCATCATCTGAGGACAGACCAATAAATATTAGTTATACATTCTGAATGTCAATAATATGGAATTGCATTGTCAATTATTACTAATACAAACGGCATACTATGAAATGATTGACTTCCCAGGGTCAGTCTTCATTTCAGAAACTCTCAACTGCATCAACCCTAGTTTAGTGAATTGCTACCTCAAACTGTGCACTGCAAAGCTATAAAGGAATTCATGTATACCAATCAGGATATAAACTCTCAAAGCTTGCAAATTTTGGGCTTTCAAGACAGTATTAGAAAATAATATCTTGGGGAAATTTTTTGCTTGCAAGACACTACGTACCTTTATATAATATTATTGAACGAGTGAAAATGTATATAATTCTTGACAAAACACTACAATTTACATCAATATTGGGATATTTCACAGCAGGATATTGGAAATGAAGTATTATAATCTTCTACTAAAATTCTAAAGGAAAATCATATGACTAACATTCTGAGATGTTTAAAACATATACTTAGGTACTTTCCAACCCACAATTTGATTTCTGAGCTATAGATAGGGTATACATGTTGAATTGGCAAATTATACCTACTAAAAATTTTAAAAAAGAATATTTTTCTTCAATCCCAAAGCAATTTGTTATCGTAATTTTTTCTTATTTGCAGTGGTATGTAATTTGCAGATATGTAAGTTGGAACATTTATAATGTTCAGCACTGACATAACCAGAAAATCATGATAAATTTAATGCAAATTTAAGAGTCGTTTTGAGGAGATAAACAAAACTGGACAATCAGACAGAAGCTACCATTAAATTAGACAAAAATACCCATGCTTGAAGTCAATTTCACCCATTCCTATTGGTTCCATATGGACCTTGCTCAATTTTCTTGTAAAAAAAACTTTTTCAGCTTTGATTTTTGGAAATCACTAAGGCAACAATTATTTTTATAAACAATTTTTGGAGAACTTTGCTCAACATTCTTGATTAAAAAAAAAAAAAGAGAAAGATTTGGATAGATACAAAATTATTCAAAGTTATAGAGGCAAGATTTAAAATTTATGAAAATATGTACTATCATAAGCCAGAGCAAAGAAAATTTTAGCAAAGATAAACAGTTTTACAATGAAAAACAGAAAAATTAGGTAGAAGTTAGAGCAGGATTGAAATTTTCCTACTAGTTCCAGAAATTTTGCAGCATCAAAGTGACAAATTTTCAAGACAGTTGGAACCTTACAGCACACTTTTGCTCTTTTGTTTGCAATTAGACAAGGGTGATTCATCTGGGGACTGGGGGAATCTTGTGGTTCTGAAAATGTCAAGAATGCTCTAGTTGGGCCCAACATCTACCTTTTGAGCCATAATGGTTGGGGCTCAAAAGGTAGACATTTTCCAAACAAGAGTTGGAGTAACTCATTCACTAGACAAAAATGCTCATGGGTCATTTACATGGGTCATTTTAACCATTCCTGTGAAGCCATGTGCTTTGCACAATTTGAGAAAATTGGCACAGTTTTAGGGCACATTTTTAGAAAAAAAGCCTTTCAATAGATTACCGTCAACCGGGGCTACTCGGGACGATTTCGAATGTTTTTCATTCATAACTTCTTACCATGAAACATTTCATAAACAAGTTTTGGCTCATTTCAAAGCTCTTTGCAAGGGCTATCACATGGCTTCTCCAAAAAAATTCCATATGCTATTCGTAAGGTGCCAGAAGCAAAAAAAGAGTATCCCGAGTAGCCCCATCAAATGGGGCTACTTGGGACACTTGGAATAAAACTTCATTTTAAAACATTTGAAGCATGCAGAGTGTACTCATCCATTACTAACAGTACTCTGAAGTCCTCTTTCATTGTAGATGATGTAGAGGTAGAATAAATGACATTTTCTGTGATTTTTACTTGTTTTTCTTTTATTGATATGATATTACCATATACATTAATTGCCATATTATTGATGCAATATTACTGTATTATTGATGCAATGTTACCATATCCATGAACATGTCATTGCGCATTTACAACAACCTTGTCCACTGCAAGCTTCATATCAGCAGCCTTATAGCATTTTTTCTGTATCTGTAAGCTTACAGGACGGCTTGTAATTCCACAACATTTTAATTGGGTTAAGTGAATTTACTATGAAAAAAGATCACGAAAAACATACCTGAAACAGAAAGGAATGTTTTAGTGACGACCATCATATGTTTAGGAGAAATAAATCATAGTTTAGGTCAATTACTTTTCATTCTATGATGCCTGGTGCACAATTCTATATATGACATTCTATGCACAATTTTGTGATGATCAATGATGCACTAATTTTTCGATAAGTGAAATTTTATTGCTGAGCGAGGTAAATGTAATCAATATTCTTTGTTTGTAATCAATTTTTTTCTTAACTGGAGCCTTTGCTAACTGAGGTTCTACTGTAAATGCATTTTTGGGGGTGTCCCGAATAGCCCCAGGGGGGTGTCCCGAGTAGCCCTGCCATGCGGAAATGGCCGCCACTTTTTTTGGATTGAAGTATGTACAGCAATCCCTTGATTAACGCGGTTAATAAATCCCCAAGTTTTACCGTGTTAAGCAAAACCGCGCTAATCAAACTTAAGAATATATGGGAATAATTATAATGAATCCTCAAAAATAGTAAAGTTACATAACCACTTTTTTGGATTGAGGTATGTAAATTCCGCAAATAAAGTTTTCATGCTGACACTTGTCTGCCAATTTAGTCTAAGCGAAATTTTCTAATATGGCAAATATTTTTTTTACTACAGACCTTAGCAGAAGTAACTTTTCAAAATATTGTTTTTCACCATTTTTTCAGGAATTTTTCAAAGCTAGTAAATATAGTATTTTTGAACTTCCTTTATACTACATAGATAGAAAAAATGTTGAGGTTTATGCCACTATATTTAGTTTTGCAATATTCCAATTAGTTTTGCTACTAAAACAGTTTTATGCCTTGTTAGAGGACTGTCTCGAGTTACCACGCCCATCCTGAGTAGCCCCGGTTGATGGTATTACTACCTGACACCTGTAACCTTGGATAATTCTGTCCAATATTTCAGATTGGTACAGAATTTTAATAAGAACTCAACAATTAACATGGAATATAAATATTTTAGATTTCAAATTACAAATTTTAATTCAATACAAAATTTTAGAAGTTATAACAATTAGATAGGTACAAGTAAAAAATTTAAATTGTGCTGTTTGTGAATAGAACTTGTAATGTAATTTAATAAAAGCTTTTTTATACAAATGTAGTACCCTCAAACAGGGTAATAAGAGATGGGCAGGATAATAAGGGACAGTCCGACATTTTGTAGAAATGTTGTAGCAGCTAAACTAATCAAAATATTGCAAAACTAAAAATAGAGGCATTAAGTTCAAAATTTTTACTATCTGTATAGCAAAAAGCAAGTTAAGAAATCATACATTTATAACCTCTAAAAAATCCCTGAAAAAAAGTGTGATTTTGGAAAAGTACTTCTGCAAAGTCTGTAGCAAAAAAAATATCTGTTGTATTAAAAAATTTTGGTAATACTTTACATTAAGTGCATCCAAAAAAAAGTTTTTTTTTTAATTATATGTTTTTGGGGTGTAGATTAAGACTCTGAAATCCGTTTTTGGCAGTCGGCATCAGAAATTTTAAATGGAACCTGTTCCTAACTGGACCTAACCTGCAAGGTTTTTGTTGATTGGCTAGGTTTTTCGGGCTGCCGGATGGACTCCAAACATAGAAAAAACCTATTGGCTAGGTTTTTCCGGCTGCCGGACGGACTCCAAACCTAGAAAAAACTAGCCAATCAACGAAAACCTCGCAGGTTAGGTCCAGTTAGGAACAGGTTCCATTACAAATTTCCGATGCCAACTGCCAAAAACGAATTTCAGATTCTTAATCAAAGCAGAGAGTTTTTTTAGACTCTCCCTCAAGTTCATTTTTGAGTCCTATAAGTAGACAAGTAAAGTATTATGGATACAGGATACCAGCATTATCATACATAAGAAATTGGTTCAAATCTTGAGTAAATGAGGAAATTAAAAATGAAATGATTCTAATAAATCTCTGGTTTGCCACTATGGGTAAATGCTCAATGGCATGTTCATGGCTACGGTAATATCACATCAATAAATAATAGGGTAAACGCGGTATATTCCGACATCGTGGGTAATTCCGTCACCTCTCTAGTTTTTCCTTTATATTAAGCTTTGTTTTAGTTCCATACGTTTGTTGATGGTTGAAAAATTGGCTAGGTTTTTCCAGCCACCGGACGGACTCCAAACATAGAAAAAACTAGCTAATCAACGAAAACCTCACAGGTTAGGTCCAGTTAGGAACAGGTTCCATTACAAATTTCCGATGCCAACCGCCAAAAACGGATTTCAGATTCTTAATCAAAGCAGAGAGTTTTTTTAGACTCTCCCTCAAGTTCATTTCTGAGTCCTATAAGTAGACAAGTAAAGTATTATGGATACCAGCATTATCATACATAAGAAATTGGTTCAAATCTTGAGTAAATGAGGAAATTAAAAATGAAATGATTCTAAAAAATCTCTGGTTTGCCACTATGGTTGTAAATGCTCAATGGCATGTTCATCATCAGTTCATGGATACGGTAATATTACATCAATAATACAGTAATTATTAATCATGGTAATATCATATCAATAAAGGAAAAACAAGTAAAAATTGCAGAAAATGTCACTTATTTTACATCTAGGTACATCATCTACAATGAAAGAGGAGGACTTCAGAGTACTGTTAGTAATGAATGACAGAATGAGTACACTCTGCGTCTGCAGTCTGCATGCTTGAAACTGTGAAACATTTTAAAATTAACTTTTATTGCAATTTGCAAGTGTCCCGGATTACTCCGTTCCCTGGTTCATAGGGGTAATTTGGGGCGGTTTTATTTTGTGTCTGGCACAGCCTCACAGGTCTTACGAATAGCATATTTAATTTTTTTAAGATGCCATTTGATAGCCCTTGCAAGTTGCAAAGAGCTATAAAATGAGCCTAAAATTGTTTCTGAAATGTTTCATGGTAAGAAGTTATTAACAAAAACCGCTCAAAACCGTCCCTTTTTACCTACCTTGTTTGGCAGTAATCAACTGATTCAACTCTATTATTCTATGCATTCCATTCAATTTAATGGTAAGAAAAAAAATAGTAAAATTTTAATGCAACCCCATAAAAGAGTATCATAACTGACCTTGTTAGCTATTTCATCAGGATCTCTTTTCACCATTCGCAGTTCAAATGCAGATTGTTCCAAATCATTTGTGAAAAATTGATAACCTAAATCTTCAACCATCACATTGCAAATGTGGTCCCAAATAGGTAATGCAGCCAAGCTTACAGTTAGTCCAACTATAATTCCTAATATTAACGGAATTCCATGTTTTCCTCGAAGAAATGCAATAATTCGTTCGTGATGCGCCGAAAACATTTTAAATTGAGGGCACCGTCCCGCCCCGATGCCGACATGCATGTGTCACCAGGGTCTCAGCCTCAGCGCCAGCTAAGCATTTCTTCCATAGCTACGGAAGACATTTTCCACAAAGTTGGTTCCAATGACTTTCAGCCCACTCAAGTAATTTTGCTTTTAAATACTATGCTTGTACTAGCCGCAGTTTGACCTATAGCCAATTCTTGTATTGTTCTTTAATATTCTTCCAGAAGTCTCAAACTCAGATCTAGAAACTCAGCTTTTGGCTGTAAGTTTTACTCTACTAGCAGAACCGTTCAGGCTAAACGTAAACAATTAGCCTCATAGGTACGAATGTGCAGACTGAGCTAGCAACACTGTGAGCCACACCAGTTCCGAAACGGTTTTGAGCCATAGCACCGAATGTTCACTACCACTTCTCGGTTCACACGTCCTAACACTTTATGATTACAAATATTTAGCTATTTTCTTGTTTCTAACAAATTTTGATACCCACTAATACTAATGCTGGATGTGCACTTCCACGCTTTATAAATCGCATAACATGGAAACGGGAAGCTTAAAATATTGACATCGTTAAAAATTAAATAAAAAATTAATCGATATTGTGGTGGGAAGTGAAGCAGCAAAGGTTATGGCCATACCTCGCCATATGTGTGAACGTGCTTTAGGAAACTTCCGAGAACAACTCCAACAGTTTGATGCAGCTAACACACCCCATCTTCTTGATATTGTTTTCAAAACATAAGTATTTTAAATGGCATGTTATGCTAATCATGAGGAAAATAAACTTTCTTCTTAATGCACCTCAATTACTCTTTTATTTCAGCTCAAAACTGTTCAATCAGTTCTGCCCCACCCTGTATAAGCTAGCTAACACATTTAAATTGTATATTGTAATCAATATATAACAAATAGTCAAATAGTTAGACTACTTATAGCCTTATAAGAATTAGCTAAGCTACTAGCTACGTACAATGTATTGCACTCTTGATGCCTCTGTACCAAAAACATTCAATTTATTGGAACCTAATACACACTAAAGGCAACAAGTTTATATACCAATTTGTCATTCATAGTACATTTATACTAAACCATGAATAACAATACCTCAATATAAATTAAAGACTGCCACTCAATATATTTAAATATATGAAAAAATCAAATAAATCAAAAAAATCGAAAAAATAAAAAAAATCATGATTTTTTTATAAAAAAAATCAAGTGATTTAATCACATGATTTAATCATTTTGATTTAATCATTGCCAACCCTGATTAAGGGATTGCTGTAAATTCCACAAATAAAGTTTTCATGCTGACACTTGTCTGCCATTTTTTTCTAAGCAAAATTTTCTAATACGGCAAATATTTTTTTTTACTACAGACCTTAGCAGAAGTAACTTTTCAAAATATCGTTTTTCACCGTTTTTTCATGAATTTTTCAAAGCTAGTAAATGTAGTATTTTTTAACTTCCTTTATACTACATAGATAGGAAAAATGTCGAGGTTTATGCCACTATATTTAGTTTTGCAATATTTCAATTAGTTTTGCTACTAAAACAGTTTTATGCCGTGTTAGAGGACTGTCTCGAGTTACCCCACCCATCCCGAGTAGCCCCGGTTGACGGTATTACTACCTGACACCTGTAACCTTGGAGAATTCTGTCCAATATTTCAGATTGGTACAGAATTTAAATAAGAACTTAACAATTAACATGGAATACAAATATTCTAGATTTCAAATTACAAATTTTAATTCAATACAAAATTTTAGAAGTTATAACAATTTGATAGGTACAATTAGAAAAATTAAAATTTTGCTGTTTGTGAATAAAACTTGTAATGTAATTTAATAAAAGATTTTTTATACAAATGTAGTACCTACTACCCTCAAACAGGGTAATAAGAGACGGGCGGGATAATAAGGGACAGTCCGACATTTTGTAGCAGCTAAACTAAGTAAAATATTGCAAAACTAAAAATAGAGGCATAAAGTTCAAAATTTGTACTATCTGTATAGCAAAAAGCAAGTTAAGAAATCATACATTTATAACCTCTAAAAAATCCCTGAAAAAAGTGTGATTTTGGAAAAGTGTGATTTTGGAAAAGTACTTCAGCAAAGCCTGTAGC